ATTTTTTTATATTTTATTCATATTAAATTATGTTCCATACCTAAATAATTGATGTTAAATGAAAGCCCTGTTTCCTGAATAAAAAGATAAATAATAAGTGTGCACATAATATGCGCGAGGTAAATTACGCCTTTATAGACGTAGCGCAAATTCCAGGTTTTGTTTAAGTTTTGATCACAACGTGTACATTTGGCTCAGTCCTTAAGGGGTTAAAATGTTAAATGGTACACATAAGAAAGTGGCTATAGAATGCATGTGTGTGCATTTGTAGTAACATACAAAAGGAAAAACACTAGAATCACAATGGAACAAGAGAAGAAATATGGTTAGATAAACAAACAAACAAACAACTATTCTGACAACATCGACAGTCACATGCAGAGACAACTATTTGATTAAAGAGACAAGAAGGTGTGAATATATTATGAACTGGAGAGGCTTGCCAAGTCATTTGGACCAATCAAGGCAATCACTTTGGTTGGTTTGAAATGCTGAAAACCACCTTTCATAAGAACTAGGACATATCTCTATAAAAAATGTAAAGAGCACATCCACTGAAAAGCCCTTAAAAAGCTGACATTAAGGCCACTGGTAACAAACAGGTTGATTTACTTGAGCCTGACAAGGATATATCTGGTGCTGCGGCAAAGTTGTGCTAAAACTGGTGTTTACTAACTGGCATAGCTTTGCCACAATGCCAAATTATTTAAGTTTCTATAAGAAACTATACATTATATGTATGCTATAGTATATGTACTAAATAGTAGCTAATTTTTATAGGCTGTTTACACTAGTTTTTTGTTTAAATGTGACGCCTAATAATACCAGGTGTATGGTCTCACTAGGCAAGTGGTAATAGTCAAATTAATCCTTTCAGTTCTGGTGCCAATCAACTTTCTCTGCTACAAATGAAGTTGAAATGTTTAAAGTAATACATGATCAGGTCTGTCCGACCACAGTATGTAATCAGAGAAAGAGATTAATAGCTTCATAATGAAATGTTTAAACTAATACATGATCAGGTCTTTCCTACCACAGTACGTAATCAGAGAAAGAGATTAATAACCTAATGAGTGGCCACTTCTTCATCCTTTGCCTGAATGACTGTGTGAGGGGGAGGTCAATATCTTTTGGGTTCAGATGATGCCCATTACTCTGATCTCATACCTAACAGGGCTACAGAATATCCATTCCTCCACGCACTGTTTTGATCCTATTTAACTTACTAGGCCAGAGAATGCCCAGAACCATAATCAGAGGCCAAACACATATCAGGCTCCTAGAACCACAATCATCTTGAAAGGAATGTTGCTCCTACCAGGAGGATCATAGTGGAATTAAACACATCAAAATCCATCAAATATAAACTGTCATTGTAACTGCTGTAGCATAGTCAAAGCAGTAAAATATTATAGTACTTAAAGGATCACTATAGTGTCAGGAAAACATAGCGGTTTTCCTGACACTATAGTGCCCTGAGGGTGCCCCCACCCTCAGGGTCCCCCTCCCGTGGCGCTGAAGGGGTTAAAACCCTGTAGCGGAGATGCAATATTCCCCAGGTGATCTCCGCTTGTAATCCAAGTGAGGCTCAGGAACAAGTAAAATAATAAATCCAAAGGCAAGGTTTCCAGCAAGTAAAATACAGCAATATCCCCACAGCAATCCCAATAACTGGACGACACACAGTTTCAGGAGCAGAACTGACAAGCCTTTAATCACAGTCTCCTTATAAAGCATGCTCCCATGCAAGGGAGGGATTTACAGTAATTATTACAGTAGCCAATCCTGTCCTGGTAACCTCCCACATATCTCCTCCCCTCAGCCAGCATCATAATCCCCTTATCCAGTACACCAATTCCCCCCGTTTCTGGATGTACCCCTAAACGTAGGGATACCTCTTTAAATCCTACATCCCCTGGTAGCCCTGATCTGGGTGAACAACATATCCAAAAATCACCCAGATCAGACCAGGGGTTCGGGAAAAGTATGGGGGGAATAAAATGACCGACCGCACGAACTGAGATAGCCCGAATCCAGGTAGAACGATCCCTCAGCTGGGGACATTCCCTTTTATAATGTCCCCACTTCTGGCAGTGATGACAGGGGCCAGAAGCGGGCTGGCGAAAACGTGGCTGTACAGCGGGTGGTGGTGGCAGTTGCCTTGGTGGAGCTGGGTTGTAGCTGTTTCCTCCAAAGGTTTTAAAAATAGCTTTTGGGGCTGCTGGTTTCTGCTGCCTGCGTGCATCCAAGTACTCATCGGCCTTCCTAGCCGCTTCGGTAAGGGAGGTAGGGTTTCTGTCCCTCACCCATTCCTGGACCTCGCCTGTTACCCCCTCATAGAATTGCTCCAACAACACCATTTGCAATAAGTCCTCCATGGACCGAGCCTTATTGGACTGTACCCACCCCAGAGCGGCCCGATGCAACTTGCAAGCCCATTCCACATGAGAGTCCTTGTCATTTCTCTTTAGGTCTCTAAACCGTCGCCGATATGCCTCTGGCGTGATTGCATATCGGGCCAGGATCACTTCTTTTACTCTGCGGTAATTCCGAATTTCCTCATCAGGTACAGTTCTATAGGCTTCCGCCGCCTTCCCTGTGAGCTTCCCTGCTAAAATAGGCACCCACTCATCTGGGCTAATATTATGCAATGCACACAGCCTTTCAAAGTCTTGGAGAAAAGCATCTATATCTTCCTCTGCTTCTATATATGTTTTAAAAGCTTGGTAAGGAATTTTTGTCTTACCCTGGGTGATGGTAGTTGTGGTAGCATTCCTCTCCAGCTGCTGTAGTGGCCTTTGACGCAGTATGAACTCCTGTACCTCTGACATTGTCCTGGCTATAATATCCGTTGTTGGATTCTCTCCATAAAAGGACAGCCTGAACTGCACCTCTCTCCGAAACTCTTCTTTTTCAGCTCCATCTGCTGCACTCTGTTGCTCAGGGATTACCCTGTCCTCCTGCTGGTATTCAGCCATCACTTCTGCAATGAGGATTGCTTTCTTTTTGTTGCTGGCTGCAATGCCTTTCGCTTCCAGGAGATCTTTTAGCGTGGATCTTTTAAGCTTGGCATAATCACTCTCCATCCGTATTCCATTAGTCCTTGTTCCCTTGTGAGTCTGGATCCCACCGCTGCCACCAATGTAGCGGAGATGCAATATTCCCCAGGTGATCTCCGCTTGTAATCCAAGTGAGGCTCAGGAACAAGTAAAATAATAAATCCAAAGGCAAGGTTTCCAGCAAGTAAAATACA